GCAGTTCTAAACTACCAGCTGTTCTACAGGAGAAAGATGAGGCTTTTTGCTCCTATAAAGATTTATAGTCGCTAGGAGTCAGAACCGACTCCATGGCACATACCACCACCAAGCCTGTCTCTTCCCTTGGAGTCCTGGTGTGGCGCCGTAGGATAAGCACTAGACCACAAGGTTGGTGTGAATTGCAAGGTCAGTGGTTCACACTCACCAGCTGCTCCTCAGAAACCCTATACAGGATCATTATGAGTTGGACCTGACTCAATGGCACTTAACCATAACAACAATATCTTCCCTTGTCTACATAGAATTCAGTCTATTTGGTAATAATGTTTCTAGCCTTACTGCTTGTTGTTTTGGCCCCCAAATTAGTTGTTTTTAAACTTTATTGTTCAAATAAAAAATAGGAATTGCTAAATTTTGCCTGCCTAAAAATGTATTTTGTTTTTCACAGGGCCAAGTTCATCTTAGCTGTCAGTTTCATATCCTAGTGCCCAGAGACATGATTTTAAATGATAATAACTATGGCACTTTCTTGTTGTTTTTAAGTGCCATCTAGTCAGTCTGACTTGTATAGGGTTTCCAAGTTGGCTGATGGGTTTGAACCTCATGATTAGTAGCCCAATGCTTATCCTACAGCGCCACAGTTAATTACGCTTTACTCTTTACAGTGCTGTGAAAAGCATGCAATGGGTGAACGAACGGACAGATTGATAAAGAACTAATGCATGGTTGCATAGCGTGTCTGTAGAAAGTTAAGTGTTGGGAGGAGGGAAGGGGGATTGCAGAGTTTCAAACTTCTCTGTCTTGGTTTTTTTTTTTTTTTTTTATCTCTTACTTCTCAGCCTGGCCCACAGGCCAGAGCAATTGAGACATCTGGAAACAAAAGAAACGCAAAATCTTCATTGCAAGACTGTATCACAACTGTATTTTTAAAAAAGATCTTATCAGTGATTAATCTGCATTGTAAAATTTGAGAAGTACTGGTTTACAACATGTTGCTTCCTATATTAAAAGTGACATTGTACTTTTAAAATAATTTTAAGAATCATTCCTGGTTTTATTTTAGTGTCCGTGGACTATCAACATTTTTTCACAATAGAAGGAGGCAGAATGTTGAGTTAGTCAGTGTTTCTGCTGCTGGAAATGGCTCTCCAGCTGTTGCTTTGATTCAGATCCTGTTTTAAACCAGAGGAACAATTGACTAATTTGGTCTGTAGACATTTGGTCAAGATCTCAGCATGCCAAGTTTATAGCTCAGTGTTTTTGCAGCCTTTACTCATGAATTAAACACATCCAGTTTATAGTCTGTGGCTTCATTCTGTAAAGGCATTTTTCAAACGGAAAAGAAAAATACTAACCATTTCTAACCAAAATTGATTTTTTGGGAAAATTTGTTGTTCTATTTCTAGATGGCTAGCAAGGAACCGTGGCTCTCATTTCCCCACTAATTTCATTTTGTGGATATAGTTATTACCTCACAGGGGCATTGATGGGGTGAAAAGAAGCAGTTAACTTAAGACTCTTAAGCAGCACTGTCCTTTTGAAGTATGCCAGACACATGCAATTAACATTTTTCCAGGAGCCACACACACAAAAAGGTAAAGAGAAACAGCTGAAATTAGTTTTAGTAATATATTTTATTATAACGAGCTCTGGTATCGTAATGGTTACAAATCGGACTGTGAACCTTAACGTCAGCAGTTCGAAACTACCAGCTGCTCTGCGGGAGAAAGATGAGGCTTTCTGCTCCCATAGAGATTTACAGCCTCAGAAACCCTGTACAGGGTCGCTATGGGTCGGAACTGACTTGACGGCACTTAACAACAACAACAACAGTATATAAAAACAATTATAATTTCAACATGTAATCAATAAAAAAATTATTGCCGAGATATTTTATGTTTTCTCATAATGTTGGTGTTAAGTGCCATCGAGTTGGTTCCGAACCATAGTGACCCTGTATAGGGTTTCCAAGGAAAAGCTGGTGAGCTTGAACCACCGAACTTGCAGTTCAAATGGCTTTGCAGTCTGGTGCAGTAACCTCCAGCCAGGACTCCTTTCTTGTAATAAGTCTTGTCTGATGTGTATTTTACAATCTGTTGTTGTTGTTGTTATTAAGTGCTATCAAGTCAGTTCTGACCCATAGAGACCCTGTATAGGGTTTCCAAGGAGTTGCTGGTGAGCTTGAGTCACTGGCCTTATAGTTCAAACCAACAATATTTTAATATGTATGCTAAATTTTCAGTAGTTGAAGGAGTCTTGGAATGGTGATGTGGGATATAGCACTGGGCCACAAGGTCAGTTTGAACCACAAGGTCTGTGGTTCGCATTCACCAACTGCTTCTTGGAAACTCTATGCAGGGTCACTATGAGTTGGAGCTGACTCAGTGGCACTTAACAACAACAACAACAAAGTGACATGTATAGTCCAACCAAAAGCAAAAATAGTGTTTAATGGAAAAATATTTTACATTGGTCTAGTTTTAATTTTAAAACGAATTAAAATAAACATCCATTCTTCACATTATCCACATTTGAAATCCTCACTGACCACATGTGGTGGTTGTTGTTGAGTGCCATCTAGTTGGTTCTGACTCATATTTGGTTTCCAATGAGTGGTTGGAGAGGTTTGAAGTGCTGACCTTATGATTAGCAGGCTAGTGCTCAGGTACCATAGTGGACAGCACAGCTGCTGGAAGAATTTCAGAAGTGAAGGTGAAATCTAAAATCAGATTGCCCATTGTTTCTAATCTACAAATGTTAAGAATTTGTAAATATCACACCTATGTTTTAGATGTAATTGATTTTGGCGGTTGGTTATGTGCCGTGCAGTCAGTTCCGACTTATAATGACCCTGTACAGGGTTTCCGAGGCTGTAAATGTTTACGGGAGCAGAAAGCCTCATCTTTCTCCCGCGGAGCAGCTGGTAGTTTTGAACTGCTGACCTTGCAGTTCGCAGCCCAAGTCCACTACGCTACCAGAGCTCCTTGGAATTGTTTTTAGACTTGTTGAATTGATAACCTTCCTGAATAGTTAGTAAATGAATAACTCTGAAATTTGCAATCTGATAGTATAGTAAATATGACTCATAGCAATCCTGTAGAGCGTTTCCAAGGAGCAGCTGGTAGGTTTGAACTGCAGACCTTGTGGTTTGCAATCCATTGCTGATCTTACAGTGCCACACCAGGGATCCACATGTGGTGGTGGTTGTGTGCTATCCAGTTGCTTCAGACTCATAATGTTTCTGAGGCTGTATAGAGTTTCTGAAGCAGAAAGCATCATTTTTCTCCTGAGGAAAGACTGGTAGATTTGAACTACTAACGAACCCTGCTGTTAGAAGCCTAGCTCATAATGCACTAGGCTACCGCAGGAGAAAGATGAGGTTTTCTGCTCCTGTAAAGATTTACAGCCTCGGAAACCATGTACAGGGTCGCTAAGAGTTGGAACCGACTCCACGGCACATAACAACAACAACAACAACCAGGGAATAAAAAGGGATGAAAGATAAACTACTAAAGTTTTTAAGTGTTTACTTATCCACACACCCCCTTTTCATTCCCTTCTCCCCAAATAGGGATTAATTTGCTTGTCTTTACAGTTTACGAAGAAGCCCTGGTGAGGTAGTGGATTATGCATTAGATTACTAACAGAAAGGTCATCAATTTGAATCTACCAGCTGCTTGGAGGATTAAAGTAAAGACTTTCTGTTCACTTAAAGTTTTACAGCCTTGGAAACCCTACATCATGTCATTATTAATTAGAATTGACTCGATGAAAGTGGGTTTGGTGGGTTTTGTTTTTATTTAGTTGTGGTTTTGGGTTTATACGCGTATTAGTGGTTCAGAGTCTACATTTTAATGCCACTATAACACTTAACAACAACAAACGACAAGGTTAGGGCTAGGAGGTACAGTGTCTCTATGTATTCGATGCTGGCGTTACACCATTCGGGAATGTCAGGTGTTCTGAGAATTCAAAATGACAAACAGGTAGTTTAAATTAGGCTATTAAAACTTTCAAGTCAGACCTGTATTTGGATCACTTGTAAACTTGCTAAATTTATTGATGCCAGACCTTACCCTTTTGGAGTCTGATTCCCTTGGTTTAGGATGAGAGTTCTCGTGTGGCACTGTAGGATAAGCATTGGACTGCTAACCACAAGGTCTTTGGAAACCCACCCTATGCAGGGTCGCTATGAGATAGAACAGATTCGCAGCGCTCAAAATCAAGAGATTTAGGGTGAATCCTATAAGAAACAAACAAACAAACAAAAAATCCCAAACTCACTGCCATCAAACAAATTCGAATTTAGAACGGCCCTATCGGGAAAAGTAGAACTGCTTTTTAGGATTCCTGAGAATAATTTGGGAGCAGCCAGCCTCATCTTTCTACTGTTGAGGAGCTGGTGAGTTTGAATTGCTGGCCAATGCCTAGTGAGTATTTCTGATGTTCAAGAACATTTGGGGATCAACATAATAAATGATGGACTTTTAAAGGTTGTGAGTTCGAATTTAACATATTTTGCTGCAGTTACCAAGCGTTTGATTTTCCCCAATCAAAGCGTTCTTAGGTAGTTGGTTTCTCTTTATTTGCAGATGGGTTTTGCAGGCAGCTAAACTCCATCCCCAAGACATGGCCTACTGGTTCCTAGTTTTTCTGCCAGCAAACAGCCTGAACTTGCCTGGGTTGCCCGTGGCCATGTGACTGCCAAACCCAGTTCCCAGTCTAGCGGCCATTTTTGAGGCGGGCACCCAACCTCATGCCTTGTAAACCTGGATGGGGGAAGAGTGTTACCAGGACCCAAGATGGCCACCACGCCCGCTAGCCAGAGTGCTGGCTGTAGACCAGCGGGTGGCTAATCGTGGCCCGCGGCACCGGGAGCTGATCCTGTGCCCTAGGCTAGGGGCGGAGCATCCGCCCCCTCTGGCTTCGGCCAATCAGCAAGCCCGGCCGACTCGGCTGGGGCCGCCAATATGCAGGGTGTGTGAGGACGCGCTCCCAGTTGCGGAGTGTTTGAGCAGAGGAGCAGTTGCCGTGGTACCTGCTGCTGCCACTGCAGACGCGGAGCATCAAACGCGGGCGCTGTTGCGTGAGTCAGGAAGGTGAAATCATGACGTCCGTCAGGTAATAAGCGGGCTGCAGCCTAGACTAGTGTGCTGACTTGCTGGGCGTTAGTCTCCCAATCGTCTGAGAACTGGCTCCCTTTGCTTGGGTGGTCTGGAGTCTCCCATTGCCCCCGGGTCCTTTCACGTTGGTGTTTTCTCTGCACTTTTAATTTGATCATTTCTGATTTTCTCAGAAGTTTTTGGGTTTGTGGCACAAAGCGGTACTCGTTCGTAGTCGCTCTGCGCTAAGGTGACCCTCGCCCATGTTTCAGGGTTTGAAGCTTTCTGGTGGCTAGTGGATTTTTGATGAAAAATGTTGCCGCCTTTCCCCCTCGGTGTGGCCCAGGGCCTGAGGGATGTGACAGGCACACAGTATGTTTCCATGCGTGCATGCCATGCCTTCTGCCAGAACTTCATTGGTGGTCATGATCAGACCTCCAAAGTTGACTCTTCTCTGACGCAGGTAGGTTGCTCCCAAGTTGAGAAATTGTGTGTCCTTAAAATGTTTACTAGGTTGGAATTACTACTGTAGGAAGGCCCCATCTTTTTATCTGAGAATCAGAGTGAAGTGAGTGTTGTGAGGTTGTGGGTTATAATGAAAGTAATAAAACAAGAGAGTTTCCCCCAAATTACTCTTCCAGTTGTGAAGGTTTTTTGTTAATGGTAACAGAATAATGGGCCTGACCATTCTCTCTGTGTTGTCTCAACGGTATGTTTATTGTTGTTGAGTGCCATCGAGTCAGTCTGATAGCAAGCGACCTTTTATAGCGTTTCTGAGGAGCAGCTGGTGGGTTTGAACCACAGACCTTGCTATTAGCAATCAAGTACTTATCCTGCTGCACCACATCAGGATCCATGTAGCTTCAAATGAATGTTTAACTTATGCTAATTAAGCTATTTATAAAAAGAGATAAATTGCCTTATTTACTCTGTGTTCTCACCTGCCTCGTTTTAAGTAGACCTTGGCCTTCATTACCCCAGAAAAAGGGAGGCCCCCAGCACAGAAGAAAAACAAAATAAGTTTTAGTCAGTGAGCTTCCAGGGCTCTAAGTCTGGTGATTTAGGGGCTTCTTAATGTAGTTTTGACTAGACAGTATTTAAGAGATAGCTATAGGCTCTAGCCCTCATTTAAGATAAGGTAAAGTGCAACTCTTTAGAACTTGAATGTGGTCTCTATTTCTTAAATTGCATGCTTCTGTACTAACATAGATAAAGAAAGTATCTACTTACCTTCTTTTGCAGAAGGAGAAATGCAGATGCTGAAACCCATATGGGAAAATATCACAATAAATTATACTGGTGCATATACATTTCTAAAGCTAGTAGTAATTTTAGGATGAATTAGTATTATGTTGTTAATATCAAGAGTTAGGTCCCTCTGCCTATTTCCTACTCCTGCTCCCTTTCATGTTGCTAATTAGATGTGTGAGTCAAATACTTTAGTTGTAAATCAGTTTTTAAATGGACACAATTCTAATTGCCCATCTTTGCTGGCTGTTAATGATCAGAGTCCTGGTGTGGTGCCATAGGATAAGTGCTGGATGGACCTCAAGGTCTGCTTTAAACACAGGGTTGGCAGTTCATACCAGCTGCTCCTCGGAAACCCTATACAGGGTCACTATGGGTAGGAATCAACAACAACAATGAGTGGAGAAATGAGCCCTGGTGGCATAATGAGTTATGCATTGGGCTGCTAAACACGGGGTCAGCAGTTCAAATCCACCAGCCATTCGTCAGGAGACAGATAAAAGACTTTCAGCTCCCGTAAAGATTTACACCCTTGACAACCCTATACAGAGTGACTGCAAGTCAGAATTGACTTGATGGTACACAGCCATCACTTGGTGGAGAAACACCAAGTCTAAAACTTTTACTGTTAAGCAAGTAACAGCAGGATGTGCGTTTTCTACATTCGTATTACTTTTTTTTTTTTTTTTTTAATTTTTAAAGCTTTTATTGTGAATTGAGTGATAGTTTACATGGGAGAACACTAGTTTTGCACTCTACCAATCATATTTTGTTACATTACAATGATTACATTTCCCTCCATGCCCCATTAGTGAACAGTATTTGCCTCTATTCTCTCTCCCCCTTTTTAAAAAATGTACACAAAACCACATAGGAATATATAATTATTTAAACAACCAACGGGTACATTTTGCAAGCCAGCCTCCTGCCCACCAGCACATAGCTTTTCTTTTTCCATGAGTCTGGAGTCCTCAGTTGCTCTCTATCCATCTCTGGTGTCACATTCTGCTCATGCTCACTTCATTCTTTTCTTTTTTTTTTTTTTTAAGGTTTTTATTGTGGATTGAGTGAAAGTTTACAGGGCACATCATCAGTTTCACATTCAACCATTCATATGACTTG